TTCCCCACAGAACCCCCCAAAAACCCCCCCCCCCCGGACCCCCAAAAGGTTTTTTTTTTTTTTTTTTTTTTTTCACACCAGGCATGTGTGTCCAAATCGAATGGTTATTATGATTAAACATTAAATCAACCTTTGCTCTGGCACAGGTTCTCTGGGGGCTTTGGAGCACGAGACTATCGTCAGACGCCAGGTGGATCCGGAAGCTTTGGTGGAAATCGCACAGCGCGCAACCCTGGTGGTCATGGAGGAAACCGTGGATTTGGTGGCGGTGAGAGGAGTTTCGTTCACATTTGTTAAAACAAAACTTAAAACATATTAGTTAATAAAAATGCTATACACCAGTTATGTGCATTTACCCCAGTTTGAACTTACCTTATTAACTGTGACAAATTGCTATTTTTTCCGAGCTAAAATTTGAAGCTCATGGCTGACGTAAATGGCACATCATTGGCTCTGGATTAATCTTTATCACTTAAAATTACAATCAGTGGTTTTAAACACTTAGAATGAAATGTCTTTTATATTAGTAAAGATGACGATGTGTTTTTTTTTTTGTTTTTTTTTTTTCTCAGGCGGCTTTGGTGGAAACTTCTACAACAACGATGGCTACGGAGGAAACTACTCCAGCAGCGTGGACTGGTGGGGAAACTGAGGGGTAGAAACAGAAAACCACATGTAAGACTGGAGCCAGACCATAACCCTCCTCCTCACTGACACACAGTACATTACCAACGTCACCAGCACGTGCACGACCACCACTGCGCACAGCAGAAGAACGCACAGACGTGTGCAGGCTTGAGTTAAAGTGCACACGCTGACGTGCATCGTCTGACGTCGAACAGCGTGTTTCACTCTTCAAAGTGTATGTGTTGGGTTTTTTCTTTCTTTTTTTTTTTTTTTGGGGGGGGGGGTTTAAAAAAAAAAAAAAAAAAGCTGTTAATGTACTGTGCCTTTAAATTAGAAACGGGAAATCTTAAGTTTTCATTTCACCAGAATGGGAAATAACCACGGCCACAAGCTCTAAATTTGTTAAGTATTTTGTTTGGTGAGACAACAAAAAAAATAATATTAAAAGAAAGCTTGGACTTGATCAAACCTTGGCAAATACTGGGGGCGCTGTTTGTTCCTGGAAATTCTTGATTCCATTTGAAGAAAAAAAAACAAACAAACAAACACTCGAAATAATCACAGGAATGTGTCAACGTTTGTTCCTAGGTAGCGTTCTTTCTACAACAGGCACAAAACAGTGACGGAAGCCGCCAATTATTAATGTGGAAACAGTGGTTGTTTTTTTTTTTTTTTTTTTTTTTTTTTTGGGGGGGGGGGTTTAAAAAAAAAAAAAAAAAGCTGTTAATGTACTGTGCCTTTAAATTAGAAACGGGAAATCTTAAGTTTTCATTTCACCAGAATGGGAAATAACCACGGCCACAAGCTCTAAATTTGTTAAGTATTTTGTTTGGTGAGACAACAAAAAAAATAATATTAAAAGAAAGCTTGGACTTGATCAAACCTTGGCAAATACTGGGGGCGCTGTTTGTTCCTGGAAATTCTTGATTCCATTTGAAGAAAAAAAAACAAACAAACAAACACTCGAAATAATCACAGGAATGTGTCAACGTTTGTTCCTAGGTAGCGTTCTTTCTACAACAGGCACAAAACAGTGACGGAAGCCGCCAATTATTAATGTGGAAACAGGACAAAAACTAGGCCACTCTGCGAGCAAACCGTATTTTTAGACAAATATCTTATTTTGTTTTCTTTGCTCACTCTATCCTGGATCGGCTCCGTTTTTCTCTCGACAGCCATTCCTCTGCTGTGGTTTAGCTCAGCACTGACCATCGCTGAGATTAAAGCAGATGTATTGCTGTTTCTCCACCTGTTTTTTTTTTTTTGTTTTTTTAATTATTATTATTATTTCTCCAATTGACTTGACAGTGTTACGGCAGCTAGTATGCTCACAGTGCTAGCTACACCAAGTGGGTGGTGTTTTGTCTATTTTTACTTGAGATATTTTTGGTGCAGGCGTCTGCAAAGTTAAAACGTTTTAAGTTGTTTATAAGAATTTTTTCAGTAGCAGGAACATAATAAATTATTTGAAAGTGAAGTTCAATGTGGCCGTATTTAAGAACCACAGCATCGGGAAGACACAGCAGCGCGTAAACGTGTTAGTGTTTACTGAATCGTTCAGGAGCCCAAACCAGGTCCGGGTGGTTTCTGACATTTGCAAGTGTTTTGTTTTTTGGTCAAGGTGAGAAAAAAAAAAAAAAAAAAAAAAGGACACGTGAACTGAGTCGCAGGCTTAAAACTTAATCTCAAAAACACATACAAAACAAAAGTTTTCCTTTTTCAAGCTGTGCTGGAGGCTCATGGTTCACCTTTGTAGTGACAGAGGTTAAACAAAGGAAGATCTAATGCGGTGGGGGTGGAGGGAGGAGGGAGGGAGAGGTGTGAGTCGTCAGTCTAAGATGTCAGAGTTGAGGGTTTTTGTTGGAACTTGGACAGTCGAGTGCTTTACAGAACAACCTCAAATGTTAGAACTTGGCATGTTCTACCGCATCAGTGACCCAATAAGTAGTCCCGGTCCTCGAGTGGTTAGTACCTGTTGTATTTTTGAAGTGAAGCTGGTGACACTAAATTACCGCCTAGGAGAAACTGGACTCACCACTGTGGACACCGAAGTTTTCCAGGAGTTATCTGGCTCCAACCCCTTTACTTTTTTTTTTTTTCTTTTTACCCACATTTTCAACAGCCCTGATCGTTTGAGTTGACTTTTTGCTAGTCGGTGTTTGGGAAGAACAATGTTGGCGTAGTCTGGCTATGGCGTTAGCAGTTACAGGTGACAATGTGGTGTCTTTATAGTTTAGCACTCGCCCGAGCCGGCCAACGATTGTCCACTTCCTGTCCGGTCTTTATGCAGCAGCTGGTCGTACCTCAGACGTATGTGTGGAAATGAAAAAAGCTTGGATCCTTGGCTTTAAGAAGTCAAAGGCAGTACCTTCTCTCAGAGAGGAGGAGCAGGAGCAGCTGAGGAGGAGCGGGGTGGAAAGCGAGTTTAACCTCCTGCGCCCCCATTTTTTCTGGTGGTGTGTTTGTGCCTTGAAACCTTTTTTGTTGTCGTTCTTTTTAACCGAATCAAAGTGGATGCACTGACAGATGCTGACGATTTGAATGGTGCTACTCGATTTTGGTCTGAAGGCTGGTGCACGTTGCGCCCATCCAGTTTTACAGGAGTTGTTTTATTGCACATCTAGAGTTTTATATCAATGTCTTTGACTACGTGTCCTTAACTTCCAAAATGTTAGTGTGAGAAGTGGTTAAAAACAAACACAGCTTGTTTACAAATGGGGTGGACTTAATCATTGGGAAAATAATAATAAAAAAAAAAAAATCCAGGATTTCTTTGGGACCAGAGGGTTTAGCAGGTTTAGCAGTTTCAGGGGAATTTAGCCATTTGCACAGATTTCTAGATTCTACTTTTGCTGCTAGTTTTGTGTAACTGATTAAGCATTTTTGACAAATATTTATTTTTATAAGCCTTAAAGTGATTCTTTGAAAGTTTCCGAAACTTGACCAAAAGACAGTACAGAAAACACTGGCACTTGAATGTTGAATGTCGCCTGTATGCGTGAAAATTTATATATTTCGGGGTAGTGTGAGCTTTTTAATGTTTAAAATATCATTGGACTTGGTAAAATAAAAAAAAGCAAATCCACAGATTTCTTTTTTTTTTTCCTTTCCAGAGACGACGTTTGTCTCTGTCCGATTTAAACCGAAATTGTTGTCAAATTCAAAATGGAATTAAAAACTATGCCAAGGTTTGGGATAAACTAAAACATTTCTTTAGGAGTCTAGGTGCAGAAGTGATAAGATTCATGATTTTTTTTTTTTCTTTTTCTTTTCTTTGATTTGCTCTAATTTGACCTGATGATTCTTCTCCAGTGAATGTCTGGCACATGGCAATCCTTCAAATTAACAAACGGAACATGTGGTTTATTCTCATTGTTGTATTTGGATATATATATATATATGACCTCTCTTGAGTTCTGGGAGCTGGATCAAGCCCCGCAGCAGATTCTTGGTCCATGTTCTCTCTGGAACCCCTGGAGATCTTTAGATGTAGACTTTGCTTTTTTCTGTATTAGCTTCTAGGCTCCTGCACTGCATGAGAAACCCTCATCTGTGCGTTTGTATGATTTTACCAAAATAAAGTTGTTTGAATGCTAAAAGTATGTTGGGGAAAAAAACAAAAACAAAAAACAAAAATCACGCATGTGTTCTGATAACGTGTTTACTGTAGTAAATCTGCTGAGCAGCAGCAGCTGTCAAAATACCAGGCCACAAGCAGCAGAAACAGCATTTGGTAGAAAAGGTATGAATGGGCAATGTTTGTTTTTGACAAAATATAAAGATTTCATTTGTCAATTCGCATGTGCAATGGGTCTTATTTCGCCGAATCACGTCGGGCCGTTTGTCCAGTGTCATCGTTACTTCCATGCTCACTAAGGTGAAGGGTAAATTATTGTCTACCATACTCCCCCTAGTGGACAGAAGGTTTTGCACCACCCCTTCCACCCAAATTAAAATACTATTGAATCCCTGCTATAATTCCACCCAAATTAAAATACTATTGAATGCCTGTTATAAATGCATTCTACATACAATCCCAGCTTAATAAAATAAGCTGCAATGCTGTCAATCTGGTGGATTTCACCTTGACGTACAAACGTGTTTTTAGGGCACGTATCGTTTGGCAAAATCCAGGCGTTGTGTTAACAGGTTTTCATTACTGTTATTGTTTGGTGTTTTTACTATAATTTCTAATATAGCTGCTGGTTATGGTGACTCGGGTATTTGGATTGGTACGCTTTTTTTGGGGTCCAACACAATTCTTACCACTGGTGCATCAATAATAAGTTAACAGCTCAAAACAAATGGGCTGACCTTCATGACCTTGGACCATGTTTTGGGCTGGCAGGTCAATGCAGACCTCTAGAAGTGAGGACTGTCGTTGTTTGTTGATTCGACAACATTCTACCTGAAGCCCTTAAAAGCTATCCGAGTGGTTATATTTTCAACGAAGTGACTGGGGAAAAAAAAGCGTTTCACGGCCGTCGTCACTGATGCTTCCACAGATCCTGGATAAAAAACGTCTCCACCTGCATATCGGACAAGTTCAACATCCATCTATGCTATTCGTGTGTGTGTGTGTGTGATCTAAAAGCTCTGCATCACTTCTTTAATCCTGCTCAATCACTCATCTCTCCACCCACAGGATTAGACATCCATTAAGAGATGGCCTTTTTTTCCATGAGTGTTAGTGTGTGTTTGTCTGGTCCTCTGGTCCCGGGCTCCGAGGTGCAGCCGCCTGTCGGCATGTCGGAGGTAGAGCGTTCACTGTGTTGTACTGAAGAATCGCTGATGCGACCGTAGAGAACCATTTCCAGGTACGTGAGAGAGAGAAACACAGAAACAAGCTATGGATTTAATTGTGATTTTTTTTTTTGGTTTTTTTTTACGCAAATCTATATGTTGATTGTACTCCAGAGCAAGGTTAAGAAATTCATGTTCCGGGGTTGAACAGCTATGACAGGTTTGTACATTATGTAGTATACGGTAAAACAAAACGGAACAAATCTTGCAGTGTCTGTCTCTCTCCCTTTCCCTCTTCCTCTCTCCCTCTCTTTCTCTATGTTTCTTCACATTTTGATCAATCGGACAGTAGGAAATGTCGGAATTCCATGTTGTCTTCAGCTTTTGTATTGATATGAAAATGCTTGTCCGTGATTTTTATCTGTCTCTCTGTCTATCCGTCCATTCGTCCATCCAATGATTAAAACAGTGTTAACGTCTCACTGTCTTATTCCTGTAGATCGTTTTGTTTTTTAATCCAGATGAACGTTCCAGATGAGCAGCTGCAGCGATGATCCTTTTCACTGTCACCGGTCTGCAGCGATGATCCTTTTCACTGTCACTGGTCAGTGTTTTTCTTCTTCTTCTTCATCTTCATCATCACTCACTTTTACCTCCACACAGTTAAATCAATTATTCAGATTTACCTCAGTGACACGAACCGACAGCAGGGGGCAGCAACAGCGTCTCTGAGCCCAGACCTGAGTTGTGTTCTCACTCGCCATCTCTCCTCTTCTCCTCTTCAGCCTCTGTCTTGGTGTTTCTGCCGCTGCCTCAGACGGTTCTGTCCAGGTGGGCATGTGCGCGGGCCTGCCCTGCGACGTGCTCCTGTACTCAGGAGAAGAGCTGCAGTGTCCTGTGCGACCGCT